CAACGACTCCGCCTATTATGTCTGGCATGAAATTGTTTTCTTCATTTTTTTCGGGGGAGGGGGGGGGGGGTCTTAGACCCCCGGACACGCTAGTGCAAAATGTGCGAAATGTGCCTACGAAGATCTCTGGCAAGAATAGAACCATGGGAGAAAACAGTTCTATAACATGTCTTAAAAAGAGAAACAGAGACGATTTCTAACGAAATGATAGGAGATATGTGAATTTCAAGGAAAAATTTCTTTCTTCCGCTCTTGACGGCCATCTTAAAAATCTAAATTGTTAAAAACTCAAGGGCGTCGGGGACTCTAGACCTTCAACCTGAAATGGGCTCCTAGGCAGCCCCTGGACCCCATTCGTAAAGATAGAAGGGGGTGACCCTTGACCTAATCCAAGACAACCCGCTGTTCTATAAAATTGTCCTTAGGAGAGAGTGTGTGTCCGAGAGAGAGAGAGAGAGAGAACTGATTTCCTACGATATAAAGTCATCATAGGGGCAGGGCAAATTTCAAGGCATAGACTACAGTTTCTATCGCTCAAGACGGTTATCTTGAAGTTTCTGATTTGCTTAAACTAGAGAAGGTCCGGGGCTCCGCCCCTGGAACCCTGATATTTTCTTCCCCTGCATCCCACAATCGCATTCGTAAAGATAGAAGTGGTGTCCAAATCAACCGCTTCAACTAAAACCCAAAAGGGCCATTTGAAGAACATTTCGCTGTACAACAACAAAAATAGCGATTTTATGTACGCACAAAAGGTAGTTCGGATCAAACATGACTTGCATATGTTTCATGTTTACCTAACACTGTACCACTTCAAAAATGGATGATAATGTTCGTTCAAAATAGGAAGAGGGAAATGCAAATATTGGAATGATAGACAGTAGGCGTGGTGAAGGTCGGGGAGACAGGTACACAGTGCTTACACGCATATTCCTTCTCACTACTAATCTAAACTAAACATTAGATCGCTTATTCCTTACCCATAGTGCCACTTTAAACGTTTCAAGGGATAGTTGAGTTCTGTTTTCAAACGGCAAATGCCTTCAAAGTGCATGGTTATTGCTCTTATTCTTATTTGCTATGACTGTAATGTTAGACCCCAAAATGTGTGAAATTTAGCCAATACGATCATACCAATTCAGCTCCACTTTCAAAAAAATATGGTGGCTGTTAATAAATAAATAAATTAATTAAAAATAACAATACATGGGACGGCTGGTTGTACGTAATATATCCAACACGAAAAAGCAAACAATAAAAATCAACACCGGCATTGGCTGAAATACAACGTTAAAGGCGCTATTTCGTTTTTTCTTCAAATTATTTAATATTTGTGGTGGTACACAAATATTAGAAATCGTTATATTTATGGATATTTCAGCCGTCTCTGAACCGATTTTGATCAAACAAAGATGATTTTGTCATTTAAATTGTATGTTCTTTCATATTTTACACTCAGATTTTCATTATCTCACAATTTTACTTTTATGTAGCGCCCTCCGCAACAAAACTCAACTATCCCTTTAAAGAAATATACGGAAAATCAAATGATGACAATACCAAGGAGAAAAAACATGGAAATTCAAAAAGGGAAAATTTATAAATAATTGCTTTATTTTTTGAAAAATCAAGATGTAAGCTAAATCTTCATATTATCCCATCCCTGAAAAGTGGAAATATCAGATATAGTTTACTACCTTTATTTAAATGGGTCGAAACACGATCGCAAATACTTTCGAAAAGTCAACCCGAGAAATTGAATAATCTCGGCCATCACTAACTGAATTGTTTGAAGGTTACTATGACGTATTGGGTATGTTGGGTTATCCAACATGATTTCCATGAAATAAACGTTAAGATTTTGAAATTGCCATTCATTTTTTTGTTAAATGTCCTTGCGATTGTATTTTAAGTGGAAATTTAGCATGCATTTTATTCTATGGTTGATACACATCGATATTCTTTTTTCCTGACAAAGACATCATTTTAAAACGTTACAAATAAGTTGATTCGAAAGTGTATACTTTAGAGAGAAAGTACCCGTTCTTTGTGAGAGCTTAAGCGAAGTTAAAATTAGAAACTGGAATTGTCCAAATTCGAAGGGAGAAATCATTGGAACGCTTGCTAATGTTCTGGCTATATGACCTTTGTGCTTTTTTTGTTTTATTTATCTATGTTCTTTGTATATCACGAAGGTCAAATCTAGATAATAACATTATATGAGCAGTGCCAATTAATGTTTAAGGATAGTGTTTGCCATTGATTGGCTTTGAACCCTAAATCGTGAATGACTAACCATAGGAGTAGCGAACATGTAGCGACAAACGACATGTAGCCCCTTGATCTATCTTTTTCACTGCCATCATCTAGGCGTCGAGAACATTTAGAGCTAGGTCAGCTCTAACCCCCTTTTCCCGTTTTTTCAACTTGTGAATACTGCGCTATGAATTCTCTCCTCATTCTGTTTTTGTCAGTAGTTTTACACAATACCTATATTTTCCAGCAAATGTCGTCGATTCTTAACGAATCTTAAAACAGTTTCAATCTTGTTTTTCACGCTCATGTAAATCTTTACAACATGTTTCCGCTAGGCTCTCTCCACGATTTAGCCCCACACCCACGCATCCACCCCGCACACCGCAGACATCCTCTCATACCGACAGTTTCCCTTCATTCTCATGTTTACTTCCCTCTTCTATTCTATCTTTATTTGTTCTCCTTTTCGACCTCTGTACGTTCATCATCGTCAAATGTATCTTTCTCACTTATTGGTTGAATTAAAAAAAATACTTATCAACATAAACTTATAGCCTACGTGCCACTGCTCACTTGCATTACCATCATTATAAGTTAATGATAACAAGACAAGCATTTTTAATAGACAGATAACATAATACCATATTTGCCACTTCAATAGTTTATTACATTTTTAGTATTTATCATGACTATATATATAAGGATTTGTATGCTATTGTACATGCAATCTCCCTTGGAGATTTTTCGGATATCTGTATAATTTTCCCCTCCACCAAACAGTCCTTTCATTCTCAAATGTTCTGTCCAACTTGAAGACATTCTTTCATAGACACATTTGGATATTTAGATAATCTAAAAATGGCTAAGTTAAATATAATGATTAGACGGAATGTAACATTTTATTTCCATGCATTCCTATGTCGTGAAAAATAATAACAAAACGAATGAGGATACAATCGTCCTAATGTAAAGGGAATGTGACATTCACATTGTAAATTTTTTCTTCAGCTTTTGTGTCGTTATGAGGTCTCGCGGTGTAGTGGATATGTCATCGGCCTGTGGATCGCACATCTGGAAAAGGTCAACAAAAGATAGTCGGCACATAGCTCAAACATTTATACTAAAATCGGATTTGATATTCGTAAAACATAACACATTACAAAGACAAAAGAGAGAGGGAGAGAGAGAGAGAAAAAAAAAGAGAGAGGGGGGAGGAGGAGGAATGAGGAGGAATGGGGATGGAAAATGAATGAGGGAGAATTGAGAGGTAATTGTGAAGATCAAATGTTACATGGAGATTTATAAGACAAAGAGAGAAAATAATTTCAAAGATGAGAGGAAGAAAAAGAGCCGTAAAGAAAAACTGTTCGATTGACTCAAAGGATTGGGAATATGATTCGATATTAAAAACTTGTGGAAACGTGAGATTTTAATTGAGAATCTATTTGTTGTAGCTATCCCTCCATGCATACACGACTTCGTGGACTTCATCAAAGGCAGGATTAAGACGATTCTTCACACGATCTACGTAGGCTTTGAGCTTAGGTCGCCCCTCTGTGACATCTCGTCCATGTATGGTATTCTGCATCATCTGATCGGTGTGAGATAAAGAAAGGGACACAAGTTTCCGTATGTGGCCTTTGCTCGTTAAAAGTTTATTCACGAAAGGAATGTTTTGATACATTGTTCATTCCCTTAATAATGAATAAACCTTAGTTCTCTTTAACAAAAGCACATAAATATAATTAGCATCGTGCGCTTAGAAACATCAGTATTAAGCGCCTAATAAATGTTATGTATTATTATTTTATTATTATTATCGTCAAGATATAATTATTTCATCATTTGCAATGAGAATTGTTCAGCGACAACTGTCAGATTGACAAATACATAGCGAGAAAATTTTAGTGTGGTTATATTTTGAAATACGAAAAGCATGAATAATACAGGCCCATATCTTATACGCTGTCGCTCATAAAGGTGGAATATTTTTTGTTTACCCCAATTTATGGAATTATTTTAAAAATAATTTAAAAATAATAGATTTAGATAATCGTATACATTCTCAGATTTTATTGAATAACAATTTGCCAATGTGTGTTTTGCGTGACTGCTAAAGCATGTGTATGCCACTATGCTTATCAACTAGGGGACCTATGCCCTTAAATCACAAATGACAGTAATGAGGATTAATGCCCCACAAAAGGGCACTAATATAGCACATCGACACGGTTTTGATCCTGGGGCCTCACAGTTACGAGGCCATTGCTTTGTCACTGAACCATGACTGTACGCATATTTATGGAAACTGCCCCCTACCCTAGCCCCCGCTGTGTACAGTCACGGTTCAGTGACAGAGCAATGGCCTCGTAACTGTGAGGCCCCAGGATCAAAACCATGTCGATGTGCTATATTAGTGCCCTCTTGTGGGGCATTAATCCTCATTACTGTCATTTATGACTTGAGGGCGTAAGTCCCCTAGTTGATAAGCATGGTAGCATACACACGCTTTAGCAGTCCCGCAAAACACACATTGACAAATTATTATTCAATAAAATCTGAGAATGTATACTATTATCTAGATCTATTATTTTTAAATTATTTTTAAAATAATTCCATAAATTGGGGTACTGCTAAAATATTCCAACTTTATGAGCGACAGTGTACAATATTTATGATATTTAATATCAACAAAATTATATTTTATTCCCGAGTTTACAGTTTACATCCATTTTATGTCGAATCCCTAAATTCAATCGTAAACATAGAGAGGGCCCTAGAAATTAACGGAAAAGACATTTGTCTTTCAATATAAAGCAAATACTAATTTGCAGGATTTGATTTGATTTGATTTGATTTATTGATTTCTTTATCATATTTCAAACATACATATTTCAAACATTAATATTCTGAACATACATACATACACAATGTCCATCAGTCTGAATCTATGTGAATTTGCGTTAGTCTATATTAGACTGACTAGACAGACAAATACGGGGATGTATTACATGGACACAACATAATTTCAGTTATAATTTCTTCATTAATGATCTAATATTATTATATTATACTTCAAGGTAAATCCAAATAATAATGCTTCTGTTTGACTTACCTCAGGGACGGCGAGCATGTCAGCGACAGAGATATCATCTCCAGCCAACCAATCATTATCCTGCAAGAAAGCAGTCTCCAGCTTGTCTAGTTGTTTGGTTAGGTTTTCTTCGTCTCTCTTCACCCTTTCTTCTGATGCGTGCTGCTTTCCTCCGGAGAACAACGGAACGTAGACCTAGAAGGACGCAAATGACTTAGTTATATCGCATAAGGAAACATTCATCATCACAAATTTCCCTCGCCGGAAGATTTTAAGAGTGGCACGGGATATTTCTTGGTGGGACGTCCAATTCGCTGTGCGCAAAGACATGTACACCTATTTATGGTAATTCCACTGAGTCCAGTATCGGCGAATTATGACATATGGAAAACTGTTGTCAATCCCACACACAGCGCGCGTGAGCGCGGTGTGTGAACTATTTCTTTGTCTCTACTCATCGCGCGATCCCCCAAATGAGAGATAAGGCACAGACTACTGTCAACGTTGAGGGTGTGTTATTTTATATGATTCGGCGCGCGACACGGAAACGTTACAGAAGCTGGACTAGGAAAACTGCCGACCGAATCCCTTTCAGGAGTCACACCCAAAACCAGACCAAGCTGTTGGTATGGTATTTTAGGGCCCTAAATTAGAATAATTAATTCGACTCGTGTAAATTAAGGTATTTACTGCGGAGCAATATCAACGAAGCATTTGTCATGAAATCAGGCTAGTAAGCAAATAACTACCGTTTGTGAAGGTGATGGGACAAACTATCACTTCCGAGGCGATCTGGATGTAGCTATCTTTCCGAAGCGAAGCTGAGGAAAGATAGCGTATACGTTCTGATCGATCGCCTGAAACCAAAAGGTGATTATTTGCTTTATATTCCATATCTAAAACAATTTAACTACAAAAAGAAAAGGACATGTAGGCATCAACATGAAAGACACCAGGCCCAAATTCACACCAAAGAAGTTAAAAGTTTAACCCAACCCCTTGAGGGTACGGTGCGCATGTGTTTGCTTTAATTGCGCTCATTGGTAATGCGCTCTTAATTACCCCTGTTTTAGTGCGCTTTTGGATAATCTTCAGTGAAAGTGCGTTGCCCTGTGTAGATAGTACCTCTATCCTCAGTGAAAGTGCGTTGCACTGTGAAGATAGTGCAAGCACTTTCACTGTATTACTATCTACACAGTGTAACGAACTTTTTGCTTGTCCCATCAATAATGGGAGAACTATCTTTCATCCAGTGAATTACTTTTGACCAATCGTAGAGCAAGATTCTTAGTATGTGGAATATAATATCACATAATGCTATACTATCTCACCTCACTGGTGAACATCCCAAAGCACGCTCCTCTGGTTCCTGTATGATGAAAGGCCATGTATTCATCAACTCTGGCTCTTTTCTTCAGGTCCTTTGGGTACCAGTGGTCTGGGACTAGGTCTGAATACTTCGTTGCCAAATACCGAATAATCGCCACACTTTTTAATCATGAAGATAAAAATTTTAATTTAATTGGAATATAATTCTACCTAAAGTTCTCCATTTGTTTGTTTGTTCGTATCATACTATTCTACTCATGTAAATAACAGAGAAAGTTTATATGTTTTAATAAACCTTTTCAAATATCAATATCCTCGCATGATCAGTTAAAAATGAAATGGACGGATCGATTCGAATATATTATCACGTATTTTAAGTTAAAAGAGGTAATAAAAAAAACTCTACCCCCATATTTCTCGCATTTCTTTTGGTTCCTCTTTATACTCTAATGTAAACTATTGATTCTTAATTTTTATCCCACCGAATGTAATTTAGATTTGTTAAAAGTTTCAGCCACAAGTTCCTTTTGAGATGACGATGAATCAGATCCGAACGAATATCCAATTGTGATACGTTTTTTCTCCTAGTATGTATGCCATTGAAAACATTGGTAATTTCTTAGTTATTACCATATTTGTACTCACTTATCCCAGATGATTAATTATGAAAAATAATGCCTGACAGGTTTTTACTGATTTTAAGAAATCAAGAAAGAGTAATAAAGCAGTTTACGTTTCCGCCATACTGAAATCCCCATCTTGAATAGCAGGTATTGTCCGCAGAGGAGTCACTTTTCCATAATCTGGTTTCTTGTGATCACCTGAGAACAGAGCAAAAATAACAATTCATGTAGTAGTAGTAGTAGTAGTAGTAGAAGTAGTAGTAGAAGTAGTAGTAGAAGAAGTAGTAGTAGTAATAGTAGTATTAGTAGTTATAGTTGTTGTTATAGTACAACTAGCAGTTCTGGTATAGAAGTAGTAGTAGAAGTAGAAGGAGTGATGGTGGTGGTAGCAAGATAATTAGTAGAAGTAGAAGAAGTAGTAGTAGTAATAGTAGCTGGAGTAGTAGTAGTTGTTGCTGTAGTAGTAGTAGTAATAGTAGTAGTAGTAGTAGTAGTAGTAGTAGTAGTAGTAGTAGTATTGTTAGTGGTAGTAGTAGTAGTAAATTGTAAATTGGCAATCACTCTCCTAAAAAGGAAAACTGTCTCTCAATAAAGAGCAACGTCTCTTTTTTTTGCCGATAACATGGACTTTATCCTCTAAATATAAATTTGATGACGTCAAATATGAACCGCTTAAGTCCAGGCTAGACCCTATAGTAAAAGGCCCGAGCCCAATTTGTATGTTTATACAATATGTTTTGATTGATTCTTGTCAATTCGATGGTGCTGATTCCAAATCCGATGAGTGCTAGAGGCGGAACCTTGAGAGAGTGCGTAAATTCAAAATGGCCACCAAGATGGCCGCCAATTTATGAAAACATTTATTCTATGACCATTTGTCAGGATATATGAAGGATTTTCGCGTCAATTTGAGGATGCTGATACCGAATCCGACGAGTACCGCACGTGAAACCAGGATCTTTTAGAAAATACGAACATCCAATATTGCCGTCAAATAAAACCCTCGCAATGCCATCATGTAGCCATCTTATTATAGTACGATAACATCCAGATGGGACCACGGTGTCGGCAAAGACAGCCGAATTTTAGTAGCTCAAGCGTTTCCCATGTGTTATGGTAACGTGGACATACGTTGCAACAAGCTATATTTCTATATATACTGTTTTTTTTTTAGATTCAATATATCATGTTATGCAATGTATTTTGTGTTTTTAATTTTGTAAACTTTTGTGATTTGGCTAAACGCCACGATGAAAGTTTCATTTGGAATAAACCATTTTGAATGAATGAATAAATGAATATAAAAAGCCAGCCTCATAGCCAGAGGCTTTGTCAAGTACCCCAAAAGTGCCCTTTCTAACGTATGAAAAGTGCCCCTATAACGTCGTAAGAAGTGCCATTTTTACAGAGCAAAAGGGCCCATTTGAACTTAAAAAGTGCCCATATCACTTTTGACAAGTGCCCCCTTCACCTCTGATAATTACCCTATTCAAATTTGAGAGGTGCCCCTTTTTCTTTGACAAGTGCTTCTTTTTCTTTGTAGGAAGTGCCTCTTCCCCTTCTAATAACTACCCACTTTATTTACCATAAGCACACCTTTTATTTTCACGTGTGCCCCTTTTTCCAATCTAATAAGTGCCCCCCTTTTCCGTATGAAAAGTACCCCATTAAAACAAAAGAGCTCCTTTCCCTTCTCATAAATTCCCCCTTTTCACCTATTAAAAGTTTCCCTGCTTGGATGGCGTTTGGGAAGAGACTGCCCCAGTTCCACTAGCTTGGGAGGCCACTGGCTTCTCTTGACTCCATAAATCTAATACAGACATTCGAATTCAAAATTCAACTCTAAATTCAACTACTTCATTAGGAAAACATCTCATTTGAGCTCTGCTCACCAGTTCACCACTTTTCCTGGTGCTACCATAATCTGATAGGAGCACTGACCACTGATAAAGGGATTACCAGTAGGGTCCATGGGGAGAGAGACAGCGGTCAATCATAGCCTAGTTACTGATAAAGGGATTACCAGCTGGTATCTGATATCCAGTCCAGATTCATAGTCTTCTCATCGCAGACCCTACACCTATATTTATAATAGGCCTGGATTCAGTGTGTCTTAAGTCTCACTTCATATTGTTTTTTTTATAGCAAGTACTAGCTACTTTCTTTTACGTATAGAAGAGAACATTGATGTGCTTGGCAATGGAAAAATGCAGAAGGAAAATATAAAGGGAGGATAAAATAGGGAAAGACGGGTGATAATAAGGAAAGATGGAAATGGAGGGAAAGAAGGAAGAGAAAATAAAGAATAGCATAAGGAAAGATGGAAAAAGAAGATAAAAAGTTTAAAAAGAAATACATAAGGAAAGATGGAAACAGAAGATAAAGAAGGTTAGAAAAAAAAAATACATAGAGAGAATAAAACAAGGTGAGAATAGAGGAGGAAAGATGAAAAAGATAAAATTAGGAGAAAATAAAGAATAACATAAGGAAAGATGGAAAAGGAAGATAAAAGAAGGTTTAAAAAGAAATACACAGGGAAAGATGGAAACAGAACATAATGAAGGTTAGAAATAAAGAAATACATGAGAAAAGATAGAGAGAATAAAACAAGGTGAAAATAGAGGAATACATAAGGGAAGATGAAAATTAGAAAGACGGAGAAAATAAAGAAGGGCATAAGGAAAGATGGCTAAAGAAGATAACATTAGGAGAAAATAAAGAAATATATAATGAAAATTAGAAAAGAGATGTTGAAAGAAGGAGAAAAATAAAGAATAATATCAGCCGAAAGGTATATAGAACAAAGGTGATAATAGTGAAAAACATGAGGAAAGATGGAAAGGAAACATGGAAAGGAAACATTGAGAAGATAAAGAAGTTAATTGGACAAATAAACTTTTAAAAAACCACCAACCAACATGCGTTAACTGGACCAAACTTTGATTGGTCATGTTGCTGCATAATAAGGGCGACTTGAAATAATCTCACTGTCACAAGTATTTTAGTTTTTCTGCATAAATATAATCATTACCTTAAAACATAAAGGTTAGATGTCTTATGTATTGAACCAAATCTTTAATAGGCAAGCTTGCCCAGTACCTCTTTGATCAAACGACACGGCGAATTTTTAAGAACACTAAAAGAAAATACACTGCCGGGCGCATTCACGATACTGCATGTGGCAAGTTTTTTCCGAATTGGGTGGTGGAGTAACGCCTTTAACATAGGCTATATTTGTCGACCTTACCCGACTTTCAAATGGAGAATCTCACTTTTCGGTGAACGGGGACCGAAATACCCCACTTGCGTGTCTGGTATTACAGACCGCTTTCTTTCCCGATATCTTCGCGTACACCAAGCTTCGTGAGAATGAGCAATCTCAGAATCTGGATGAATGTTGTCCTTGTAGTGTGAGGTTCATGAGTAATTATTGTTATAAACTCCGACATATAGTATGGATGATAATGTTTGTCAAGTTTATTGCGGACTTTGTCATCCTCATGAAAGTATTAGATCAAGTAAAAAGGCTTCAATTAAAATAGTTAAAAATGACCAGAAATCATTTCGATGTTAAGATATTTTTGACGCACTTCTCGTCATGATATTGAATTTATAACATACAACGAAACGAGGACATCATAATCATAAAGACGTTCGTTGTGCAGATATGTATTTGCTTATTAATACATACAGTGACAAAAAGAATAATGCGCTATAATCATGAGCAAAAAACCAAGAGGTTTCGGAGAATGGTAAAAAATCATTCGAGCAGTCAATTAGGCAATTCTTCAACAATCTTAAGTATCAAAAAGTGAAAAGGTTTAACTGTCGTGATAAAAATGAGCTTGTCATAGAGATTTATTATACAAGTGAGCATCGAAATGTTTCTTTAATGAACTGCTATAAAATTTTGAAACCAAATACTCTTGTGCTGAAATTTCATATCCTCAGTATCGAGAAGCATAATGTTCCATTATGGTTGCATCAACTATTGTAAAATAGATTAAGTCCTTCGATGTCTTGTAATGCCCTAATCACTCAGCTAATTATTATCTTTCTAAAGGATTGTAGATTTGAGAGTTTCTGTTTCTTTCGTGTTACATGCAATGGACATTCAATCATCACGGCTTGATGTGTTGTGGGGAAATAAATATTGTATCCTATACGTGTACAGATCATATTAAATCAAATAAAAGTTTGATGAAATTCAATTCTTATCTTGCCAGAATCATCATTTTTTTAAATACCGTCTTTATAACGAATTCCAAGAAATATGCCGTCTGCCTAAACAACCACCCCTCCCCTATTTCAAATTTGACGTCTGAGCCCCGGCCACTCCCTATTTTCAAATCCTTGATCTGCCGTTTGGGGGGGGGGGGGCAAGAAATAGGCAAAGAAAGTTGAGTAGACCTTCAGATTACGCACTGAATAAATGTAACGAAAACAATATTTACAACATTCTATTCTTGCTTTAATACCTCAAAAATATTTAACGGTCAAACCAACAAAATGTATGTTTTCCCGGCCTTTCCTTATGGCCTAGGCCTACACCATTTTTCTAAACGCGTTCGAGTTTATTTCGTCTATGCGAATAAATTTGGTGGCGGAGTAACGCCTTTAACAGAGGCTATATTTGTAGACCTTACCCGACTTTCAAATGGAGAATCTCACTTTTCGGTGAACGGGGACCGAAATACCCCACTTGCGTGTCTGGTATTACAGACCGCTTTCTTTCCCGATATCTTCGCGTACACCAAGCTTCGTGAGAATGAGCAATCTCAGAATCTGGATGAATGTTGTCCTTGTAGTGTGAGGTTCATGAGTAATTATTGTTATAAACTCCGACATATAGTATGGATGATAATGTTTGTCAAGTTTATTGCGGACTTTGTCATCCTCATGAAAGTATTAGATCAAGTAAAAAGGCTTCAATTAAAATAGTTAAAAATGACCAGAAATCATTTCGATGTTAAGATATTTTTGACGCACTTCTCGTCATGATATTGAATTTATAACATACAACGAAACGAGGACATCATAATCATAAAGACGTTCGTTGTGCAGATATGTATTTGCTTATTAATACATACAGTGACAAAAAGAATAATGCGCTATAATCATGAGCAAAAAACCAAGAGGTTTCGGAGAATGGTAAAAAATCATTCGAGCAGTCAATTAGGCAATTCTTCAACAATCTT